ATAGTCAGAGACGTATACATTACAATAATATATACGTCTCTGCTATGGTTTATACGGGGTTTGTTTTGTCTTCACTATCTCTATACCTGCAAAGAATATATAGTTTCATACTTGGTTGGTAACGATAGCAAATAGAATACGTTTTTTATGGCATGGAACCTCGGGAATTCCTAAAAATGTCAGAAGTTGTTGAGATGAGAAGCATTGGTCGTGTTACAACAATGGCCATACCTTAAGTTCCTCAAGGAATCAAGGAATCTTGTTCCTGCCAAACACGTAGCTTAACCCCCGCCCCACCCAAACGCCAAGTTATTTATTTTGCTCATACGGAATTTGTCTTATTCTTAAATTTTATAATATTCTGCAGTAATCCATGCCATAGCTTGACAACTGAAATTGTAATCTTACTATACAATAATTGAAATAAGCGAGCATTAAAAAGAGTATGTCATTGACTGGCGTCTTTCTGTGTTCATCGTTCATGACGTCGATTCAAATCAAAGCGTTAAAACTTCAATAAGATATGCATATAATTCGATTTGGCTTCTTTTTATGTCATTTAAAATGCGTTGTAACGTGTTTATTTCACGTTATTACTACTTTTAATTTCGCGTAATTACGTGTTTATTTCGCGTTATAACATGTTTATTTTACGTTATTACGTTTTTATTTCACGTTATTAAGACTTTTAATATCGCGTTATTACGTGTTTATTTTGCGTTTTTACGTGATTTTTCGCGTTAATACATGTTTTGTTCGCGTCATTACGCGTTTTGTCGTGTTATAACGTGTTTGTTTGCGCAGTTACGTGTTCTTTCGCGTTATTACGACTTTACAGTATATTTATTTCTTATATGTGATCCTAATAGGCTTTCATAAATATAGATTATAAGCCACAAACAATATATATTTGGGGGTTTAGAAAATTACTGATGGAGTTTCGATTACGTCCAATTTTCGACTGAATATTGTCATCATTGTTATATTATATTAAAAAATGACAAATTACCACAACTCTGATTTTTGCCGAATTTTTATATGATATTCTACATGCATTACAATAAACACCTAATTAAGTTATGTATTCAACAAACATCCGAATTTTGTAGTTGAAAAACGCGCGCAATATATGCATGTATATATTTCAAAGCTGCACTTATACAAAGGTTAAATACTGATTTTACCCTTTTTTCCGGTAAAGTGACTGAACTACTGGAATCGGGGCTGGTGAGGACCGTTAAGATAGGATAACTCGTCCGGACTTCGAGCAGGTTTGGAATATTCTTTATTTCACCCCAACGGAATTATACTAGTGTAACGACCCGTAGAATAGTAGTTAGTATTAATTTTTATTTGGAAAGCGTTAATTTCTGATAAAGTTTAATGTTTTTGCTATTAAATTAACTTGAAACGTTTATTTTGTCATTAATATTTTAATTGCATTTAAAACTGTTCATTTTTACAACAATGCATCTTGTCGCAATAATAAGTCTCAAGAGCTAATGTTCGTTGTTTACCTGTATGCGACGTTAAATAAAGTTTCTTGTATCTTGTATCTTGAGTTACTCTGCTCTGCGCACAACTACAATACTAAGATCGGAGTACTTTGGTTGTGACATTTAAAAAGTCAGCTGATAACACGTAACTGTGTTTGAAGTTACTTTTCAAATTTTGAACATTGTGTGGCAAATAGAATTTTACGTTGTTGTCCATTTCATATTGAATTTATTTAACTCTTTCAATAATTTGATACGACACTCGTCAAAAGGATCGTGTCATATAAAATTATTGAACAAGCTTAAGAAATTCAATATGACATGGATACTCACCTAAGATCCTTTATATATGTAAATATGCACCACGTTAACCTAGCGTTATGTAAATTAATTATGTTGTAAATCAATGTATGTGTATTTTCATATTATTATTATGTTTGTATGTATTCTCCATTATTGTAGTCAATACACGAGATTGATAATATCAATAAATAGTATGTAAGTTTTCAGTTATGAATATATGCGCTACTCTCCGGAAAGGTGATCATATCATGCCCACTAACAGTACCACTTCATGTAGTCGATACTTTTGATTGCATGCTAAACATTTAATTTTTGTAGACATTTTTAGTTTTAATATATTGATGATTCATTCCGTTCTTGCATTTAAAAGACTGTAGGAATTATTAAGACTCTTGAAAACAATACAAGGTTAATTAAATTGGTATCATCACACTGTTCAGTCCACATGTATCGCAAAATAAACTGAACTCTGCATTTGTAATCCCCCCGGGCTTTTAATATAGATGTTATTGTATCAAATCTTTAAATTGATATGATGTAATGTAGCCAGAGCTACCTCTGCCTCTGGCTCCAACACCAGACACATTTCAGTTCCTTTGAAAAAAGCAAAACAGGTTGCTTATTTCATTCGGAGACACTGATCCCTAAAGGTAACTAATAGGATCCCAGTAGAGTGATAACCAGCCCCCCTCCCTATCCTGGATACTCAGCAGATCTGTCCAGTGCCATTACTAAATATTGTCACAGCCAAAGTCAGTTGGTGACAATTATAACGTGTGCTTGATAGAAATCTGCCTGACGCCAAGATCCTTTGTTGAAATTGTTGAAAAACCACAATTAGTCATCCCTGCCCTGAATTCACATGTGAGGTCTTGATGTGTAATAAAGACGGTAACAAGTTAAAACAATTTGTATTTTTGTTCCCGTCTTATTTATTTTTTGTCTGGTTGAGTTATTGTTTTTGTAGTTTTGTTTGTTTGTTGCTTGTTTGAGGGGGAGGGGGCACGGATCTGCGCCTAAGTTGGATAATGTGAAAGAATCTTCGCCCTCGACTGAGAAAAACCGATCCAGCTAAGTACTAGTAGTCATCCTCGATACTCCAGGGGTTACGATCACGTCCACTCTCTTTAGCCCTGCATTATGTCATGACCAAATCGAAGGCTCGGTGTACACTCCCTGAAGACAAGACAAGGAGGCTAGTTTGATCTTTGAATGTGAACCAAAAGAAATGTCCGGTAACGGTAAAATTGACTGACGTTTAGGATGTTTAGTTTAGTCGATTTTATATCGCCGATAACACCACTACCAGATTCCAAGTCGTTTGTCATATCAATTTCAGATTTTATATCACCGATATCACCACCACCACTATAGATTATAAATCACTGGCATCACTACTATATATTCTAAATCACTGGCATCACCACTACAGATTCTAAATCAATGGCATCACCACTACAGATTATAAATCAATGGCATCACCACTACAGATTCTGAATCACTGGCATCACCACTACAGATTATAAATCACTGGCATCACCACTACAGATTCTAAATCACTGGTATCACCGCTACAGATTCTATATCGCCGATATCACCAGTACAGATTCTAAATCACTGGCATCACCACTACAGATTCTATATCGCCGATATCACCACTACAGATTCTAAATCACTTGCATCACCGCTACAGATTCTAAATCACTGGCATCACCAATACAGATTCTATATCGTTTTGCATATCCATTACAAATCTATATATCACTGGCATCACCACTACAGATTCTATATCACTGGCATCACCACTACAGATTATAAATCACTGGCATCACCACTACAGATTCTAAATCACCGGCATCACCACTACAGATTCTATATCACTGGCATCACCACTACAGATTATAAATCACTGGCATCACCACTACAGATTCTATATCACCGGCATCACCACTACAGATTCTATATCACTGGCATCACCACTACAGATTATAAATCACTGGCATCACCACTACAGATTCTATATCACCGGCATCACCACTACAGATTCTATATCACTGGCATCACCACTACAGATTATAAATCACTGGCATCACCACTACAGATTCTATATCACCGGCATCACCACTACAGATTCTATATCACTGGCATCACCACTACAGATTATAAATCACTGGCATCACCACTACAGATTCTATATCACCGGCATCACCACTACAGATTCTATATCACTGGCATCACCACTACAGATTATAAATCACTGGCATCACCACTACAGATTCTATATCACCGGCATCACCACTACAGATTCTATATCACTGGCATCACCACTACAGATTATAAATCACTGGCATCACCACTACAGATTCTAAATCACTGGCATCACCACTACAGATTCTATATCACTGGCATCACCACTACAGATTCTATATCACTGGCATCACCACTACAGATTCTATATCACTGGCATCACCACAACAGATTCTATATCACTGGCATCACCACAACAGATTCTATATCACTGGCATCACCACTACAGATTCTAAATCACTGGCATCACCACTACAGATTCTAAATCACTGGCATCACCACTACAGATTCTATATCACTGGCATCACCACTACAGATTCTATATCACTGGCATCACCACTACAGATTCTATATCACTGGCATCACCACTACAGATTCTATATCACTGGCATCACCACAACAGATTCTATATCACTGGCATCACCACAACAGATTCTATATCACTGGCATCACCACTACAGATTCTAAATCACTGGCATCACCACTACAGATTCTATATCGTTTTGCATGTCCATTACAAATCTATATATCACTGACATCACCAAAACTGTTTATTACACCTTTAAAGCCACTACAGATTTTCGTCAATATAATGATTCTTAAAAGTGTTTTACGGCATTGTCCTTTTATCGTTATTTTTCCGATGATTCAAATTAACAAACCGATCAGTGAGCGCTCAATATCCACTGTTTGGATATTTGTGAATACATGCTTGCGATATACATATGCGGTATTTTGATTCGTATTTGCGCATCTCTGCGATGTAACGTAAAAATGAAATTTTCTTGGAATATCGGTCATTTTCAGTAAACAATACACATTGCTTCGTAGAAGCATGTTTGCACGTTGAGCAAACCCCAAAAGACTTGTAAGGAAACAAGACATTCATAAATATACCTTAAATCAACGCAGGTGCCATTGTTTTGTCATACTTTTAATATTTTTCATTTATAATTGTTGATCCTCCCAGTGAGGCCAGAACTGTTCCTTTATTCTATTGATGTAATCCAGTACATTTGAACATTCCTCTTGTATGACCGTCTTCATTGGAAAATCCAACGGCACAAATATTATCTGGGCAAGAAAACCAAATAATGTACAGTCAATCTGTGAATGAAAATAGATGACACAACTTAGACATACAACTTATAGATGCTTCGCGTTTGTAAAAACAGAGGTTGTGACTGGTTCACAATTGTATGAACAGAGGATGTGGCTGGTTCACGATTGTATAGACAGAGGTTGTGTCTGGTTCATGTTTGCATAAACAGAGGTTGTGGCTGGGTCATGTTTGTATAAACAGAGGTTGTGGCTGGTTCATGTTTGTATAAACAGAGGTTGTGGCTGGTTCACGTTTGTATAAACAGAGGTTGTGACTGGTTCACGATTGTATAAACAGAGGTTGTTTCATGTTCACGTTTGTATAAAAAGAAGTTGTGACTGGTTCATGTTTGTATAAACAGGGGTTGTGGCTGGTTCATGTTTGTATAAACAGAGGTTGTGGCTGGTTCATGTTTGTATAAACAGAGGTTGTGGCTGGTTCATGTTTGTATAAACAGAGGTTGTGGCTGGTTCACGTTTGTATAAACAGAGGTTGTGGCTGGTTCACGATTGTATAAACAGAGGTTGTTTCATGTCCACGTTTGTATAAAAAGAAGTTGTGACTGGTTCATGTTTGTATAAACAGGGGTTGTGGCTGGTTCATGTTTGTATAAACAGAGGTTGTGGCTGGTTCATGTTTGTATAAACAGAGGTTGTGGTTGGTTAACGTTTGTATAAACAGAGGTTGTGGCTGGTTCATGTTTGTATAAACAGAGGTTGTGGTTGGTTCACGTTGTATAAACAGAGGTTGTGGCTGGTTCACGTTGGCTGTCGATATTTAACATTTATACAAACGTGTAGTGAATGTTCTCTGAGAGTCATCTGCTATACATATAGCTAACGGACAACATATGAGCGACAAGGATAATCAATGCTGATATATCATGCTTAGATGATAGTGCCACCAAATCAATAACATTGAATTCCATATTTAAAACATTTTATACCATCCTTTTTAGATTGATAATCTTATTTTTTCGCAAATGTGGATAGATAGTATGCATTCCTTCCTTGAGAATATGATAGAAAAACTTTGATAAAAAAGGTTAAGATTTCGTTGCCGCACAGTTCTCATAGTAAAATTTAGTTTCAGAGAAATAGAACTGTCACCAAGCTATACTAAGAAGTTTGTTAAAACCTAAGGGATCACAGAGAATACACTGGCTGCTATAATTGAAATACAATAATTGAAGGTTTCAAGGAATATTCTTCATATGTATATTAAGGTTTATTTCTTCGTAATTACCAATGATGGCGTATCTCCAAGGAAGTACTTCTTTTCCCCAAGGTAGGTAGATATAGCTCTGATGTCGTCACTTCCTATTTTGTAAATTTCTTCGCTACTATGATGACCAATTCCATGCTTCCATGCTCTGTCTTTTACCTAAAATGAAAACTATTACCTGTTAATCCCTTCCTCTACAAAAAATCACCCTGCAGGTTTGTGGAAAGAATATGCCTGCTGTGTCCCAATGCGTGTCCTATAATGCTTCCTATTTGGTGCCCTGACAAATCGGGGTTTTTCTTCGGTGTTGTCTGCTAAATGGACATTGAAGAAGCTCATATGAATCTAATGCCCCCATTCCAACATTTTTTAAAATTAACATAATCTTTCTATTTTCACTTATTTTTCATTTTCTTCTGCCTTGATTCGCAATACCTCACTTTTTGCCGTATTGTTGAACGTTTATCCAAGTGAGGAAGGCAATGTGTTATCAGTGTATTCAGGCGATCAACTTACGCTGCTGGACAGACCGGCCCCGACCTTTTCTTGCATCTCCTCTGGTACTTGGAATTTAAGGTAGTTTCTGTACTCTGTCATATGTTCAACGTACCGGTACCAGAATATCGACCTTATATAGTGCAATAGAATAAACAGAATAAATATATAAATAAATAAATAATAATAATAATAATAGTTTCAAAGAAATAAGATATTTCTGGAATATTTACATTTCGTTATTTTTTACTGTCCTTTAGTGTTTAGAATACAATTTGTATGTCGTCATTTTAACTGTACGTAACTGCTTAGATTACAATATGTCGGGCAATATTTACAATGTTTGGATTGTTCCTTAGAATTTTAAATGTCCATTCCGTCCGTCTATGTTTCGATTATCCCTTATTGATTTAGACTCTCCGTAGTGTTTGTGTACTGTTCGTGAGTGTTTGTACTGTCCGTGAGTGTTGGTATTGTCTGTGAGTGTTTGTCCTGTCTGTGAGTGTGTGTACTGTCTGTGAGTGTTTGTAGTGTCCGTGGGTGTTTGTACCGTCTGTGAGTGTTTGTACTGTCCGTGAGTGTGTGTACTGTCTGTGAGTTTTTGTACTGTCCGTGGGTGTTGTACTGTCAGTGAGTGTTTGTACTGTCTGTGAGTGTGTGTACTCTCCGTGAGTGTGTGTACTGTCCGTGGTTGTTTGTACCGTCTGTGAGTGTTTGTACTGTCAGTGAGTGTGTGTACTGTCCGTGAGTGTTTGTACCGTCTGTGAGTGTTTGTACTGTCAGTGAGTGTGTGTACTGTCTGTGAGTGTGTGTACTGTCTGTGAGTGTGTGTACTGTCTGTGAGTGTTTGTAGTGTCCGTGGGTGTTTGTACCGTCTGTGAGTGTTTGTACTGTCCGTGAGTGTGTGTACTGTCTGTGAGTGTTTGTAGTGTCCGTGGGTGTTTGTACCGTCTGTGAGTGTTTGTACTGTCAGTGAGTGTTTGTACTGTCCGTGAGGGTGTGTACTGTCCGTGAATTTTGTACTGTCAGTGAGTGTGTGTACTGTCTGTGAGTGTGTGTACTGTCTGTGAGTGTTTGTACTGTCCCTGAGTGTTTGTACTGTCTGTGAGTGTTTGTAGTGTCCGTGGGTGTTTGTACCGTCTGTGAGTGTTTGTACTGTCAGTGAGTGTTTGTACTGCCAGTGAGTGTGTGTACTGTCTGTGAGTGTTTGTAGTGTCCGTGGGTGTTTGTACCGTCTGTGAGTGTTTGTACTGTCAGTGAGTGTGTGTACTGTCTGTGAGTGTGTGTACTGTCTGTGAGTGTGTGTACTGTCTGTGAGTGTGTGTACTGTCTGTGAGTGTGTGTACTGTCTGTGAGTGTGTGTACTGTCTGTGAGTGTTTGTATTGTCCGTGGGTGTTTGTACTGTCCGTGAGTGTGTGTACTGTCTGTGAGTGTTTGTATTGTCCGTGGGTGTTTGTACTGTCCGTGAGTGTGTGTACTGTCCATGAATGTGTGTACTGTCTGTGAGTGTGTGTACTGTCTGTGAGTGTGTGTACTGTCTGTGAGTGTGTGTACTGTCTGTGAGTGTTTGTATTGTCCGTGGGTGTTTGTACTGTCCGTGAGTGTGTGTACTGTCCGTGAATTTTGTACTGTCAGTGAGTGTGTGTACTGTCCGTGAATAAGTGTACTGTCCGTGAGTGTTTGTACTGTCAGTGAGTGTTTGTACTGTCCGTGAGTGTGTGTACTGTCCGTGAATTTTGTACTGTCAGTGAGTGTGTGTACTGTCCGTGAATGTGTGTACTGTCCGTGAGTGTTTGTACTGTCCGTGAGTGTTTGTACTGTCTGTGAGTGTTTGTACTGTCTGTGAGTGTGTGTACTCTCCGTGAGTGTGTGTACTGTCCGTGGGTGTTTGTACCGTCTGTGAGTGTTTGTACTGTCAGTGAGTGTTTGTACTGCCTGTGAGTGTGTGTACTGTCTGTGAGTGTTTGTACTGTCCGTGAGTGTTTCTGTCCGTGAGTGTTTGTACTGTCCCTGAGTGTTTGTACTGTCCGTGAGTGTTTGTACTGTCTGTGAGTGTGTGTACTGTCTGTGAGTGTTTGTACTGTCTGTGAGTGTTTCTACTGTCTGTGAGTGTCCGTGAGTGTTTGTACTGTCCGTGAGTGTTTGTACTGTCCGTGAGTGTTTCTGTCCGTGAGTGTTTGTACTGTCCCTGAGTGTTTGTACTGTCCGTGAGTGTTTGTACTGTCCGTGAGTGTTTGTACTGTCCGTGAGTGTGTGTACTGTCCGTGAGTGTTGGTACTGTCTGTCAGTGTTTGTACTGTCCGTGAGTGTTTCTACCGTCCGTGAGTGTTTGTACTGTCAGTGAGTGTTTGTACTGTTCGTGAGTGTTTGTACTGTCAGTGAGTGTTTGTACTGTCAGTGAGTGTGTGTACTGTCCGTGAGTGTGCGTACTGTCCGTGAGTGTTTGTACTGTCAGTGAGTGTGTGTACTGTCCGTGAGTGTTTGTATTGTCTGTGAGTGTTTGTACTGTTTGTGAGTGTTTGTACTGTCCGTGAGTGTTTGCACTGTCCGTGAGTGTTTGTACTGTCCGGGAGTGTTTGTACTGTCCGTGAGTGTTTGTACTGTTTGTGACTGTTTGTACTGTCTGTGACTGTTTGTACTGTCCGTGAGTGTTGGTACTGGCTGCGAGTGTGTGTACTGTCCGTGAGGGTGTGTACTGTCCGTGAGTGTTTGTACTGTTCGTGGGTGTTTGTACTGTCAGTGAGTGTTTGTTCTGTTCGTGAGTGTTTGTACTGTCTGTGAGTGTTTGTCCTGTCCGTGAGTGTTTGTACTGTCCGTGGGTGTTTGTACTGTCAGTGAGTGTTTGTTCTGTTCGTGAGTGTTTGTACTGTCTGTGAGTGTTTGTACTGTCGGTGAGTGTTGGTACTGTCTGTGAGTGTGTGTACTGTGAGTGTTTGTACTGTCTGTGAGTGTGTGTACTGTCCGTGAGTGTTTGTACTGTCGGTGAGTGTTGGTACTGTCTGTGAGTGTGCGTACTGTCCGTGAGTGTGTGTACTGTCTGTGAGTGTTTGTACTGTCTGTGAGTTTGTATACTGTCTGTGAGTGTTTGTACTGTTTGTGAGTGTTTGTACTGTCCGTGAGTGTGGGTACTGTCCGTGAGTGTTTGTACTGTCGGTGAGTGTTGGTACTGTCTGTGAGTGTGTGTACTGACCGTGAGTGTGTGTACTGTCCGTGAGTGTTTGTACTGTCTGTGAGTGTGTGTACTGTCCGTGAGTGTTGGTACTGTTTGTGACTGTTTGTACTGTCTGTGAGTGTTTGTACTGTCCGTGAGTGTTGGTACTGTCTGTGAGTGTGTGTACTGTCCGTGATTGTTTGCACTGTCTGTGAGTGTGTGTACTGTGAGTGTTTGTACTGTTTGTGACTGTTTGTACTGTCCGTGAGTTTTTGTACTGTCTGTGAGTGTTTGTACTGTCCGTGAGTGTTTGTACTGTCCGTGAGTGTTGGTACTGTTCGTGGGTGTTTGTACTGTCTGTGAGTGTAGGTACTCTCCGTGAGTGTTTTTAATGTCCGTGATTGTTTGTACTGTCCGTGAGTGTTTGGACTGCATGTAATTTTGTTTTGTTTTGCAATATTCCCTCGTTTGATAGTGTTTTTTCTACATTTTCAAAAAAAGCCAGTGCATTACACACAGCGTAACATGTACATGTAAGGATTGGTTCATTCAGCTTAAATAAATTTGATAATACCATGTTGTGTTTTCCTCCACCATCTTTAGAAATGATCGACCCACCGCCTTTTGTTCAGGATTCATTCCTGGGTATGTATCCTTTTTGAAATATTTTGATAAATATTCAATGATGAAGTTGGAGTCTGGCATTTCCTCTTCGTTAAACATTATAAAGGGAGATTGTTTTTTGCTTGAAAACCCCATGTGATCAATAATCTATAAAATAAAAAAACGTAAAACATATAATTGTTAGTTATTTTTATCTCTTGTAAATTCATATAACGTAAATATACAATGATGGACTTGTGTAGGTTAAAACGAGGATTTGTCGACCTTAAAAACGTGGTAAGTGTTTCCCCTGGACCTTGGGCTCAACGAATATAACATTTCTCGAGTCGATTAATCCTCGTGTAAGACTATATAATGTTACATAAACAGACGGGGCCACACTTTATCATCTATATACTACTTTATACCACCTACCGGTACCATGATAAATTCATTATTATTGGTTGTCGGTATGAGAAGAAGTTGAGAACGATTTGAGAACAACTTGAGAAGAACTTGAGAACGGCTTTTCCCATTCCACAGCACTTGGGAACGCATTTCGCAAAAAAGAACGTATGCTTGCGCCAGATGACGCATGAAACCGGAATTAGTGTCCTTACAAAAGTGATCCGCGTAAGAAAATAGGGTGTCATAAACATATGAAAACAAAGTTACGGAAAAATATTGTGAGAATAACAACACCATTTTAGGTGAAAATGTGCATATGGAAAAGCCAATGACGATAGGATTATTTTAAAAATATTTTTTTCCATGTAATTTAAAGGTTCATTGTATTCCTCCGCGCAAAACTTCTATTTGTTTACGTTTGTCACAGGCGATCGTTGACCATTGAACTTAGAAGTCATTTGGAAAACATGTACAAATGTATAAGGTAGTAGTATATAGATGATAAATAGTTTATCATACAGTATTTGCAGTATTTGTCGTTTGAACAATTTTCTCATCGCTCGCACGTAGATAAAATCGAGAGGCCACCGCAGGTGGACTCGAGTGTTTGTACTGCATCAATGAGGCAGAGCAGACAAGAGAAAAAGAGAAAATACAATGGGTACATAGCACTGTATTACCTCATAGGATATATCGTTCATCCTCAGCCACGTCTCTAACTTCATGGCGAATGGTGATATGTTTGGAACACATTTCGCCATTGCTCTTGGAAACACATGAAGATACACGACATCTGTCTTCCACTCCGACTTCCACTGCACTTTGGCCCCATCAGTCTCTGCCATTCTACTGCAATGGAACATTGGTGTACATATCAACATTTATTTGACAAAGAGCTATGGCGGGTCCCCAAAGGTGAGACTGCTATATAGTGCGCGCGTGCAACCGTGTACTGTTATGACGCGTCCTCGGGTATTTTTTATACAGATAGCTCTATCTGAATCCTGTGTCTTAGAATAGATTAATGTAAACAGACGAATTCAAGGCTACGGCTATTGATGCATGCGTTTCACGATAAAGACTCAGCAAAATGCTTATTTCGCGCAATTTCTATGAATTTAAAACAAATAATATGCTGTACGTAACACTCGTAAAATAATTACCAACAACTTTTGAAAGGATTTAATTTCCATTACTACTGCCTGCGTCATGCCGTTACCTCCTTTCTTACAAAACACACATCTTGATTTTGTTTTTCCTGCACCTATGAATGGCAAAATGATAAATACAATTTTTAAATAGCATGTCTTACGTGTGTGTTGCGATCCTTACTTTGTGTTGCAATCATCCTGCATTTCAGACAAATGAAACTATCCACAACGACGATTATTCCCTTATTCACTTCATATTGTTTGTTTGGCCTTCTTTTGTTCTCACGTAACAGTCCCACATTTTTTTTTTTTTGTATTTCAGCATAATTTGCTTGTGTTTAAATAATAGATAAAATTACTTATGCCAATTCGAGAGTAAAACAATTCTTAAATATCTTTTAAGGTGATGTCTTATCTACAAAGCGTAGCTGTACTGTACACGTGCACAGTGATTTGTTGACATGATTCCATAGAAGATAAATCAATAGGTATGTAATTAAAATATCAATAAAATGTACCATTGATTTGAAAAATATTTTATTAATAAATTAAGGAAAAAGATTACATGCCTAAATATTAAAACAAAATGAACGTGGATTCGAACTTGCACAGTTCACTCCGTCTGGTCACAAGTCAACTGCGTTACACATTCGGCTACATGAGACATAGACGAAGAGAGGATTACAAACTGTTTTAACCAAAGAAACACACCTGTCGAAGTTTAAGAAACTCGCTCATCCCTGTTTTTCATCATTTTGAGCACTTTCCCAAAGGAGGACCACTTTTCCGGAATACGATTTGTTTTTTGTATATTATATCATGGAATAAAAAAAGTTGGTTCTCGGATGGGAAAGTGTTGAAAGTATTTTGTTAAGTCTGGGAAACCCCATCATTTTCATAGATATAGTGAATATGGCTATATTTGCAGTATCATATTAACAATACCTAATATCTCAGCAGTTCAAAAAATCATATTCAATTGGTTTTATATCTATTCTATGCATTTGCGCTGCTAGAACTTATTTATTGATTAATATTTTTTCCGCTTTTCATAAATGCCGACTTAGGGAAATATGGGCAGTTTCCCGCCATAGCTCTTTTTGCTTTTGTGTTTATGGAAGTGGGTATTGCCCTACATGACCGTGATAGGTGACACTAGCGGTGAATGATTAGTGTTCAAGTCATAATTGATTGAACATAAACAGTAACTTATTGGAGTTCTACAATACGGATGTATACAATAAAATACATATGTAAAAACCATCAAAACTTATAGGGAGTGTACGATTAGGTTAAATCAGTACAATAGGGGGATTACAATGGGGGTCTCCTATAGGGAGGTCTACCATAACATAAATACATAACAAGGATAAAAACGTGTAGGGAGTGTACGATACGATTTGATCAATACAATAGGGGGATTACGTTGGGTTCTCCTATAGGGAGGTCTACCATTATTATTCTCTTTATTTCCTCCAATTTGAAGATTACGTTTAAACAGAATAATGCGCACATATTTACATTACAAAAAAATCATATTGAATACACATAAGCACCAAATAACATACATGACATATACAGACTTAATTACATTGAAGTCATACATTCAATAAATATCATTAATGAGTGTATATATGATGAGGTAATACATACATCTTTTATCGATTATTTGATTTATATTAATCTTTATCAGGATGTGAGATTATATCTACACACTACCTGTAGTATAGTTTGTGCATCTTTTCGACAGCTGCTACTGATTTCAATCTAAATTCATTCATGTCTAATACATTTAATTCGTAAGTCAGTTGTCCCCCAATTAGAATATGAATTAATTTGTGATCTGTCAGAGAGTGTATGTACGCACTCAGCAGAATACCAGTATCACTAATGTTTTGCGATAGAGCACCACAACTTGTCCCTTAGGTGTTCAGTATAGCTACACTTTAATATAATATGAGTTAATATATCTTGGTAAATAATACCATATCTATGACATATCTCTATGGCTTTACCAGTACGAATATTTATTATTAATTTCGTAACATATAATATCGAATCTTTAAACTCCGGGAATTTCATTGCCAGTTTTCATAGTATATGTGGTTGCAATATATTATGAACCATTACAAATCTGTTAAAATCACTATCATTTGACATTCGCTCTTTCCAATCATGTTCCTCTTTCAACAACACAGATTTATTCACAATTATTTTCCATTGCCGTTTTAATGGGAATACACTCATTCGAATATACTTGTTCAACATATTATAAAGATTGAACTTTTTGAAAATTCTCAAAATATCATTTAAAAGTCCAAAATGGTCACCAGATCTGTTCAGCATTGATGCGTATAGTCTTCTTAAAAATCTACGTGATGACAATGTATTTTTATCTAAATAACACAACCTTCCAAAAAACAGCAATTTTCTTATATCTATATAACTTTCTATGGATGTCCATCCTATCAATCCATAGCACATATCAGTACGTGTTTTGTTGCTAAAACATTGAATTGATTTTAAAATAAATCTTTGCGCTCTTTCCAACAAAAGTAACTCTTTCTTTGATAAAATCCATAGTTCACAACCATATAGTGCTGACGTATATACAACTTGTTTGATAAGTTTTCAGGCAGTAACTGGATTTAACGCACAAGGATGTGCACCACTCTTAATTAAACTCATTGTACCACTTTTTAATTTGCTACAAGTACGCATTGTACGTTCATATATTTGGAATTTATTATTTAACATTATACCAACGTGAACAATATCTTCCACTTCCGGTATAATATTATCACATAAATAAAAACTAGTAGCATATTTCACTTTTTTCTTTCTTATTAAAATACATAATCTTACTTTTGGTGTTAGAAAACAAAAATCTCCATTTTTTTACTATAATCTTCACACATCCGTAGCATATATTGCAAATCAGTATATTTATTGCTTACGAGGCATATATCATCAGCTTGAGTGGGTATATTAACTCTAATGTCGATGATCATTGATCCCTTGCCACTCTGTTCAATATTTTTCAGCAACATATTAATAAAAACTAAGTACATTTTCGCAGATAATGCGCTCCCTTGTAAAATACCTCTCTCCATGGGTACCCATCTTGATTGTAATACATTAAAAATAATGCAACTTTTGACACCAGTATATGTTCCTTTCAGTAATTTCCATACTTTCGAGTTCAAGCCAATTTCATAAAGTTTGTATAGCAGGCCTGCGTGCCATACCGTAACAAAAGCGTTATTGCTATCTAAAAATCCAACATACACATTATCATCATTTTCTAAGTTATATCTTATACATTCCTGTACATTAAATGATGTACATAAACTACATAAACCTTTCTGATAGGCTGCTTGTTGCCTACATGGAAATGTATCTGATTCAAGAATTGAACTTATTCTTTCTGATATTAACATTTCAAAAACTTTAAAAATAACTGGTAATAAAGTGATACCTCTGTAATTATTGGGATCATCTTTTGGTTTATTGTTCCCTTTATATAACGTAACAATATTTCCTTTCTTCCAATCAGAAGGTATATATTCATTATCTATTACAAGGTTAAATAACCTCGTTAAGTATCTAAATAACTGTTCGTTCCCATTAATAAGATGCTCGTACACTACTCCATCAAATCTTTACAAATTTTCTCGACTTCTGTAGCAGTGACTTGATTATTTAAAAAAACGTCGCGCTCGTTGTGTATATTCTTTTCAATATCTCTTACACTTTTTAAAATGGTATCGTAAAACTGTTTGTCGAAAAGATTACACTGAACATCTTTAAAAAGGTTTTCGGAATGTGTAGCCCAAAACTTCCACTATATCATTAAGTTTGCTGAATGTTTTACCGCCATGTTTTATTTTAGTCTGCGTATAAATAAATCCCATAACAATACATAACAAGGATAAAAACGTGTAGGGAGTGTACGATACGATTTGATCAATACAATAGGGGGATTACAATGGGTTCTCCTATAAGGAGGTCTACCATAACATAAATACATAACAAGGATAAAAACGTGTAGGGAGTGTACGATACGATTTGAGCAATACAATAGGGGGTTTTCAATGGGGGTCTACTATAGAGAGGTCTTTCATAAAATACATACATAACAAACATCCCAAATGTAGGGACTGTGCGATAACGTTAAATCAATTCAATATGGGGATTACACTGGGGGTCTCCTATATGGAGGTCTACCATATATAATACATAATAAAGTTAAAATTGAGGGAAGTACTGTATAGCAGTAAACTTTCACGGGGGTTTTAATTTCGCTATATTCGCGCTTTGACTAATATCCGCGAATTCTAAACACCAGCGAAATAATCGAAAATGTTAACCACTTTTACGGACCTTACCACAACACGTTGAAAATACTTATAACCTAACGCTGTAATGCAAGCTTAAATTAACCCAAATCAGATTATCATCGGACAACTGGACAGTCCATGTAAAAACAACATTTACATATAAGTGGCCTAACAGGTACATACACATTTGATTTTCTTTCGAGTGAAGTCACTGGCGGATGACGACGCTCGGGATCAGTGTTTTTCAAACGATTTACATGTATTTCGAGGTTTAACCCTTACATGATGACACTCAAACTGCTTTGCTCGACACATGGGTTCGGGTGCACAGCGAAATTTAGACCCCGCGAATATGTAC